TTCTTATAAATCGTCTGTCATATCTTATATTTACATCAGATATACTATACGATATAAGTGACAGATGCAGCATATAAACAACGTCTGGATGTAGTAATTCGTCCAAAAGTCTATTAATACACGATAATCAAAAATAATGAAGCACATCTGCGCTGTAGAAAAATTTTATTAAAGGAATAGAACAACAACATGACACGTAGAAAACTGACTTCGTGAAATATTTATGGTACGAAACTTTTCACAAAAATTTTTCAATGTGTTCTCCTTCTAAGTCTTTGCAAAGTTGTAATTTTTCGGGTATTGATTGACAAGGTCTTTTACATAATTCCACTGGTAAGCTTTGCATCTCGGTTATTATAGCATCTTTTAATGCCTGAAGATTTTGAGGTTTTCTTGGATATACACGGTCTTTGATCTCACTCCATAAAATAAATCGGTCGGTATGAGATCTGGGGACCGTGGTGGTCAGTCAGTGAATCTATGTCGGCCAATCCATCGGTTAGGAAATGTTTTGTCTAGAAAGTGTCGAACAGATTTAGCATAATGGACCGAAGGTTCATCGTGCATGTAGAATATTTCTTTTAAATTCATGCGATGTGCAATGCCAGAAACAATTTCTTCATTTAGCATTTGTAGATGGTTGTTTGCAGTAACGTTGTCACGGAAGAAGAACGGTCCGATCAAACCTACAGACGAAATTCAAACTCATACAGTAATACCCGTAGCATGCATTTCTTGAGTAATGACGATATGATGGTTTTCGACAGCGTAGTAAGAGCAATTATGCCGATTAACATGACCATTTAACTTGAAAATGGCTTCATCAGTTCAAACGATTCGATCAGGCAAGGAAGAGTCATCAGCTAACCGGTTCAAAAAAATGTCGGCAAATTCGCAGCGTCCGGTAGGATCATCATCATTCAAAGCATGCAGTAATTGAGAACGGTATGGTTTCAATCCCAGTTCTTTCATCATTCGTCGAAGACTCTTTCTAGACAAATTCACCTCTAAAGAAGCTCTTCTTGTTGATGTGTTAGGGCTTTCTTCAAAAGCGGCAGGAACACGTTCCTTGTTCTCATCAGTACTAACAGATCTTGGTCGTCCAGATCTGACTGCATCTTGAACACTTCCGATTTCATCGAATTTTCGTACGAGATCCAAAATGTGCTTTTGTGATGAAGGAATTCAGTCATAACGGTCCTGGCATTGACGAGCAACTTCAGCTGCATTCTGGTATATGGCATACCACTTTACGATTTCAATGCTTTCGGATGATGACAAACGAAAACTTTCAATCATGATTGACAAAAATCTGATAAACGTGCAGTTACAACTGCGCAAAAAAAATAGTTAGTATATAGAGAACAAAAAATGAATCAGCCGATAAAAGGGATACCCATTGATATTGTTATCTGACAGATGCCACCGCTAGCACATAAAGAAGCACTAACAGGGAGGCAGCAATATACGTTATGAGAGTAAAAACTATAACCTCAACATATTCCCATTTTCTTAAGGATTATTTTGTATTAATACACTTTTGGACGAATTACTACATCCAGACGTTGTTTATATGCTGCATCTGTCACTTATATCGTATAGTATATCTGATGTAAATATAAGATATGACAGACGATTTGTAAGAAAGAAATTAAAAAAAAACTTTGTTACCTGACTTATTGCCCACCCGGTATAAGTTTTGGGCATGTCTATCGTAAACCATGTATTATTACATGTTATGATTTACTTTATCTACGTGATTATATTTCATCCTATACCTATCATCCATCAAAGTCATATCCATGAGCGAAAATATAATTCTAAATCATTACTTGTTATGGCAAATAATTCTTCGGAACGTAAAACGAGACTACCAATTTATGAACCTCACCATCAGGTCGAACGAAAAACTCCAAATGATTCATGGATACCTCGTTCTTTAGCAAATATTTTGATGGTGCATATTGCTTTATTTTTTTTTCTATCAATAGGAAAGATATCCTATCAATACAGAACAACGCACTCATTTATAGGATTGCAAACAACAAGCTAAAACCAATACTGATGATGATGTCACTGAATCAAAATCGAATTGACGAAAAACATATTCATCGAGGATTTCGATCACGTACACCATGGATACCTGTTTACTAATGAAACAAATTTCTCTTTACTTGTATATGTTGTATAGTTATTGTATTGAAAAAGAAAATAAAACTTTCACAATCAAGATCTATAAACTTTATTAATAACAAAAGTCTTATATCGTTTATATTCTGGAAGTTTCTTTCTTTTTTTATTTTTAAGAATATCAATCCTGGTCCATGTATTTGTTAAATCGACTTTTTTGCATAAACGTTTTAAATTCTAGGTGAAATAAAAATATATAATTGACAATAGAATATGAGAAAATTATTTTTTGTTTACCTTCAAAACTAATGTTTCCATTACGATCAGTATCAAGTTGTTTAAGGTAACGTTGAATCTGTTGTTCAGCTTCTTTTTGTGATACACCGAACCTTTCTTTCAATGGTATATAATAGCTTCGTAATTCGGCGATTGTAATTAATTTATCATTATTTTCATCCATTTGTCTAAATTGTTTTTCAATTTGTTCATCCGTAAAATGAGACATTGTATAAGATACCAATGATATGTTTTTATATTTTTTTTAAAGTAAAGAAAACAACTAGGATAAATGTAACATTTATATAGAGAGTATACTGACTTAATCGTGCTTGACTTTTTTTTTTCTTATTTATGATTTATTTTGTTTATATAGAAAAGAAAAAGACATTATGTTTATTATACCCTAGTTGTGACACACTTGAACGATTTTCTTTTTCGATAAGATAAGAAGAAAAATAAAAGGTGTCTACTTTAGTCGTTATTAATGATGATGATACCAAAAAAAAGAACAGCGACTTATTGTACATGAATGATAAAACAAAACATAATATAAATATTAGCGTATTTTAATGTTATTCAGCTCATGATGAAAATGGTTATATTTATTTAAACATAAACATAAACAAAAGCATAATCAAAATATTAAGAATAGAAAAAGAAAAGGAGAAAAGATTTGAATTTTTAGTCCATTTATGTCAAGTTCAGAATCTTGAAATATTAAGTATATAAAAATTGGATCTTGTAGATTTATGCAGAACCCCATAGTTGAATAGTATTTGTGCATCAAAACCATAGAATAAGACTTGTAATTGTGTATAAAATAAATCAATTAATATTGCCATTAAGCTGAAAAGACTAAGCATGATTTGATATTTCAAAAATACTGCATGACTTTTAAAACAGATTCTATCATGTCTCTTTGGATGTGGGATGATATATGTATACTTAAAAAAATTATTAAAGATAACTTTTCTACAAAGCATTTGTTTTTATTAGTTATCATTAATTAAAAGAACAATAATCACTACATATATGCAGAATTTTTTAACTGTAAAACAATTAACTACTTTTACATTTCATCTAAAATGTAGTGCAAGGGGAAAACAGCGAGTTGTGAGTTAACTCTTTACCGGTCGTCACGTCGTTGAAGCTAGCCGAACCGGATCATTCAGCCGGAGGTAAATAGTGATTCTATTCGATGATTCGTTAAGCAATAGATATCGGAATATTCACAAAATACCACTAAAGAGGAGTACAAAATAAATAAGTTTTGGATATGATCGCCTTAGTGATGATACATTTGAAAGATATTTCTCGTTTAAAAATTTTCCCTATTAAATGATAATTAGTACCCAGGACGAAGAATCCGACAGTCGGATCCGATCGAATTCTCTGGAGATTCCGACAACTTCCGATAGGATCCTATCGGGAATTGTCGGAATCCTTGTTACGGTAATCCGATCGGAAGTTGTCGGATGTCGGATCCGACGCTTTCCGACGGTCGAATCCGATTGTTGGAAAATGTCGGATACAGTTAGAATCCGATGGAATCCTGATGAATTCATATTTCAATACAAATTTAATTTAATTAAATTTATTAAAAATAAAATAAATAAAAATACAACAAATTAAGAAAAATAAAAATAAAATAAGTAAAAATACAATAACATTAAATAAATAAGAATACAATAAAATAAAATAGTTACATATATATCACTTTTTGGATGAATGAATATCTCTCTTTTTATTGAAGAAAACAACAAGTATATATATCTAGGAGAGAGACAATAGACGGACTAGAGAAGAAGTCGAGAAGCAACGTTCGTCTGTGTAGAAAATGAAGAATAGAAAGAATAAGACAATGATTCTTCTTACTCAACAAAGACGTCAGTTAGGAAAAGTGAGTAAGTCAAGAAAGAGCATACATGTAACAGATGAATAGAAAAAGAAAAGAACAAATGTATAATAGTTGGACTGAAGAGGGCAGCAGTAAAGCACTATGTAACAAAAATAAAAATACATTAAAAATTAAAATTAAAATAAATAAAATTAAAACAATACAATAAAATTAAATTAAATTAAAACTAAAAAAAATAAAATGAACAATTTGTGTCCACTGCTGACTGAGTTCATGCCGTAGTAGAATCTGAAACGAAATAAGAAAACTAAAAACTAAATTCAAGTAAAAGAAAATCAAAATAAAATACAATAAAATTTTAAAAAATTAAATAAAATAAAGACGATAAAATAAGAATAAAAATTCTATACTTACTGTGGACTAACTTCATAGCGTGATAACCTCTAAAAAAAAA